TATGTATGTATGTATGTATGTATGTATGTATGTATGTATGTATGTCTGTCTGTATGTCTGTATGTATGTCTGTATGTCTGTATGTATGTCTGTATATATGTATGTGTAACTTTTTAACTGTGAAGTTATTCTTCCAGTAAAAAAACGTGTAAATACATGTTCCGACGCATTTTAAGTCCGACATGAAACTGATCACTACAGGGTAGCGSATGGTCACGCAAACCCAGGTGAAGCCGACGTCAGCTGAAGGGTAGACCGTCTCATTTCACAGCAGTTTTGAGCAGCCTACCCGGCCCAGGGACAAGGTGGCCCACGTGGCCCARCTAGGCTGAGTCCTCATGAGGATCCAGCTCATGAATTGAGACACAACCTCTTTGATCTTTGACTTTTGAGGAGRAAACTGGAAGAGGTTTAATCTGGRGTTTCAAAATAAAGCCCATAATCCTCTTCAAAGTAAGAGTATGTTTCTATTAGAGTTTGAGGAACTCTTCAACCATCTGTGCAGAAAGTTTCTGGTTTAGATTTTTGAGAAAATTTGCTCAAGTTTTGTGGAAAATTCAGCTTTGTTTCAGAATTTGGAAGAACTTGGTTCTGAAACTTGTAATAAAACAATGCTTTAAATCTGAAAAACTGAATTATTAATAATTTAAAGTTTACAGGAGAAAATATTGAAGTAATTCTTTGGTATTAAACTAACCTGCTAACAACAGAAAGCTCATTTAGTTTCATGTTCAAATACAAAACAGATCTGTTATTAAATTAATTCTGATGCAGCTTAAACTGAATAATTTTCAGAGATTTGGAAACGAGTTGACTTCATTTATTAAATCTTCTGTTTCTTTGACCCTAAACACAGCAAGCCTTTAGCTTCTTTACTGGATATTTATATTTCCAATATCAGCCACAGTTTTTAATCTTCCCGCAGCTAAAATAAAGAGTGTCTCCATAACTCTTCYTCCCTATCAGCGCCCCGTAAACGCCCCGTGTTTTAATCTGAAATAAAGCWGCAGCGTGGAGCGGCCGCCGCTGTCCCAGCCCCGCACATATCAGCAGGAAGCTGGAGGAGCGTCTGCCATGCCGCAGAGACYGAGCAATTACTTATCTGAGTAATATGCATTATTATTGGTGTTG